GTGATTGTTTTTCGTTCTGTTCTTCAGATAGTTAATGAAACACTTTTTGAATATTTTCATATGGCTATTGTTCAATATTACAATAATGAGAATGAGAATGAGAATGATGTGCTATCAGTATCGTCATATTTATCATAAGTTGATAAAATCTTGGTTTTCTTTTACATTGTTAATTTTTCTCTGTAATTGTTCGTTGTAAAGATTATCAAAACAAAATCAAAATTATTGTGATCAATTATATACAGCAAAATATACTTGTAAACAACTCTGGCGTTATTTATTTAAAAAAGGAAGTAGATAACTGACCTAATAATTATCAAGATAATTGCGTCATACATGATTGCATTTTTGTCTATTACCGTATATACTTATAACAATGAATAAACCTATTGATAAGATGAATCGATCATGTACATTGTATATAGTATATTTTACTCGTTTGATAGGAGGATTTTTAACAAATATAGATTATTCATGTTGTGTAACAGCTGAAATTATGAGTTTGGTATAATATTTCAAATTGAAATAATTCTAGTAGTTAAACAAAAAAATAAATCAAGATATTTTTATTTCTATGATTATGCTTTTTTGTTAAATAAATCATACGGAGGCAAATAATTGAGTTATTTAGTAAAGTTACAAACCAAATGAATACTTGTTCAATTAGTAGTATTTTATGTAAAGATACTTGAACATTACTAAGAAGTATATTTTTCTCTAGATAAATCTGTGAGCTAAATAAGAATCTGCTGTAGCTCGGAATTCGTCATATGATTGTCTCAATCAAGTTGCTGCTATGCATTTTGCGATGTAAAGACAAGTGATAAGAACGTATAATGTCATTTCAATCAAATCTTATCTCTCGTTCACTCACTATGTGTCTAACGAATAATTTGAATTAATCGAATATTATAGTGTTATCTATGCAGTTAATATTTATAACACTTAAACTACATATATAGTAGATTTTGAGCAAGTTTAAGATCTATACTCAAAGATGATTTTATTCGATAAAGTAGATTTAATGAAATTGTACAAGACTAATCAAGTTTGAAATTGCCTTTTTCGTCATTCACATTAATTTTATATAAATATATTAGTTGATTTTGATTGTTTCAAAATAAAGTCTATTCTTTCATTCAGCAATTCTTCAAAAGAGCATCACCAATCCACAACAATCGATGTACATTATCAGTATTTGATCTACATATTAAACGAATCAATATGGACGATTTGCGTATATTTTCTTATCATATGATTCAGTTGAAGGGATTGAACTATTTCCAAGGTCAAGTTTAACTATCACATATTTCATCAGTCATCTGATTTTTAATCGTCTGATGAATTATCGTACATACGCATTTGATTAAAGTACTGTTTGATTACATTGGTTTCGTTTAGATCACAATAACTGATATATTGATTCTCGCACTTCATATGTTAAACTAATAGCATCATCTTATTCAAATTGTGCATTAACTAATGCAGCTTTGCACTGTTGTTTTTAAGATTATCAATCTAATATGAATAGATTAGATATAATCTATGAAAATCAAGCATTGATTTCTTTTTCACATAATGATTATGTTAATCAAATCGTTGTTATGCTTTCAACTATGTTTATAATTGATGGTATACCATTGATATTCAAACGAATCGTGAAAACAAAATCTCTTTAGGATCATCTGTCAGCTCTATTAACAAAAAAACATTTCTATCTGTAAAAGATTCATTTATTCATAAATGAATTAGTTCTATTAACTGTTGAACGTAACATTATTGAGGTAAATGATTTTATTTTATGATCGATTGATAATTGATATTTATTTTTCACTTGGATGTCGTTGTTTTGATGAAATCAATAATAACATGTTTATCTGCATGTATTATTTATATTAATAATTGTTTAAGGTGTTCTTGAAAAATAACTTTAACATTAATTAATTTGGATTGAAGTTCACCTGTTTTGTTAGTAATATATCAATATTGCTTTTTTTTAAACGTAAAGCTTCTTGTCACCAATATATGTTGTTATTAGTTTTTCAATTTTACTTTTTATTCACATAACAAATCTTGTAAATGTTGATTATTAAGTATTTGAAAAATGTCATAATAACTGTCAATAAGGCGAATAAGAAAAATGTATTTGCAGAATTAACAGTAGTTTTTTTTTAAAATAGTTGAATTGTAAGAAAAAAAAACTACCAATACAAAATTAAATAATCAAATTTTTATAATTGAAATTCATTATTCAAAGGCTGAAAGATTCGATGCTTAACATTTTCAGTGTCGATCTCACGAAAGTTAAAAAGCAAATTCAAGATAATGAAAAACATACATGGAGAAGATTGAAATTCTTTGAACAAATACATTTGATGATTATCTATTGAATGTTATGCAATAGATTCTTCAGTATTGAATTAAATGGAAACAAAATTGAAACTGAAAATTCTACTAGAATTCTATGAAACATTTCGCAATTATATTGAAAATCAATAGAGTTATTAACATTGTTCTTTGATCTGACCGATAGATTTCAAAATAAAGCATATTGAAGTGTATGGAAAGTAACTTGAGATTAAAAAGATCTATTGTTGTAAAACTTTAGTTAATATGTATATAATTCGAAATTGTGTTTTTCAAACAAGAGGAAAACACCTGATTTTTTTTAGTCTTTGCTTATTCAAGAAAATAATTATTTTATTACACTATTAAAATGTACGAAGCCTGCTTTTTTATGGTTGTAGAGCTTCGTACATAGTTTTAAAACATAGAAACTTATTTTCTAGATACATGTAATATTTGTGAATATATTGACACGTCCTTAGCATTTGCCACTTTTAGTCGTTCTTTGTTGTTCAGAACTAAAAATAAATGGGAAACGATTTAAAACAACGAAGTTATGAATTTTGAATGAGTCTGATTGATAATATCAAATCAGAAGACAAAATATGTACTACAAACAGATATAAATGGTTTCAAGAAGTTCTAAAACGGTTTTAAAACTTACCGTTCTTGTATTCGATAAAAGCAATGTTATCGCAATTTTGGAAGATTATTATTGTACCTACTTAGTACTAAATAACTACAAAGCTTCAAGTGGACAGATTTTACTATAGATGACAAAGTGTAACAAAACTATCTAGCACGTTTTATCTAAGTTTTTAATTACTTAAACTGATCTTTTTAAATAAAAATACTTTTTCGATATAACAAGAAACATCTATCGATTTATCAATGTTCCTGTATTTGATTACTATTTTTATGCATTCCTAATTTTATTCGTACTGATATTAATCTGTCATTATTTGATATTTAAAAAAAATACGCAATTTGTTCTATTTCATGTTAATGTCATTTTCAATTCTATAATGTTATTGTATTACGACTCTCATAATTTCTCTTTCAATTCACACTAGATGTGTTCTCTAGGTTGAACAGATCGGCTAGTCATACAGTAGAATCTTCTCGTTTGAATCGATCAATAAAAACCCCTCAGACGAAATTCAAAAATACGAGCATCCTATGGTTAAAAGCTTGATTATCTTAAACAATTACATTACCAAAATCATCCAATTCTTTTAGCTGCTTTTTTTCTGTTATTAACATTTGTATTTATTCTATTAACATGCATACAAATGAAAATAGTGTTGATGAAGGAGAAATGCTTTCTACTGATACGTGTTTCATAAAGAAATCTTAGGATCAATATTTGTCCCGACATTGTTGTATGGCATTTTATCATGCAAATTAATTAGAAAATCGATGAAATAATGAATGATAGTCTTCTTCTAGTTTCTCATCCATAGTAAGTTATCGGCTTGAAAGGATGAGTGTGAGTAGGGATCTTCCGTTCGTCTAAGTTCATATCCACACTCTCCAATTGCATTATTTTCAGAGAACTTGCTCCATAGAAACATAAGGTTTGTTCTCTTGCGGTTACTATTTAACAAGACCTTAAATTTTGCAGTTGTTGTTTAATTACTGTGTTGATAAGACTATGAAATATTCTGAGCAAAGAAACACACTATTTCGCGTCATTTATTTTTATTTTTAAGGCTTGAATTTTTTTACCGCATGATCCGCCATTCAATTTTAAACAAAATCTGCATGGAGTTTTATTTCTTTTTCCGATAGTGAAGAAAAACATTTAAGAAAAAACGCAAACCAACATAACAGATTCAACGTTCCAAAATAGTTTAAAACGAAATTTTAGAAACATTTTTTTACAGCATTAAAGACAGCAGAGAAGAATTGAAAACGTGCTAGAATATTTTGAAGTATGCAGCTTCTCCATATGCTACATAAAGCTCGTGAAAATGAACTCAGAAAAAAAAGAACTTTGATTTTTCACAATCCTACTAGAAATGGTTCAAGTCTTATTTGTTTTCGTCAGCTGAATTGAAGAAGAGAATTTCAGGATACACTTTGAGTTCAGAATCTGGCACGATTTTCATTTTCTTAAGGAGCTACTGAACTGTTGCTTGAAAAAGTGAAATTTCAACAGAGGAGATAATTAATTTACTGCCTGACAATTAATGAAAAACATTTTTCAATTATAGGTGATCAAACGAGTTTTTAAGCAGCTATAAAAATACCTGTATTATTTTAGCTTTATGTTTAACAGTTAAGAGAAAATTTGAAATAAAGACAATTTCTAGCTAAGAAAATTACGTAGTTCTATTGTATATATTCAAAATTCTTCAATAACATGTTTGCTTCCATTTCTCTATAAATGCATTTGATATAAGACTTGTCTGCTATTGCCTGGTTAGCAAAGAAACTTTTAGTGTAGCAAAAATAAAATGAAGAAATTATCAAGAAATCACGAAGACCGTCATTTATTCTGTTTTGTCTCTTTGGTTTTCTAAGATCGATTCTCGTATAGAAAATATATAAAATTATCAAGGCATACTTTATTTATTGATATCCTAAAAAGCATACAAAATCAATTATTCTAAAAGAATAAGAAGAGTTCCATTTTTTTTCTATTGGTAAGATCAATAAAAATAACGATGACCATATTTTTTTAACCATTTTAATTCTTCACGTAGTTTAATTTTTCCATGCCAAGGATTTTTACTGAATGAATGATCTTCATTTGGAAAAAGTAATAATTGAACAGGTATATTTAAATAATTTAATCCACGTTCTAATATAAAACTTTGATCAACAGGAACTCGTACATCATTTTCACCTGTAATTATATGCGTTGGTGTACGTATATTATTCAATTGATATATAGGCGATTCATTTTGATATATATCTGGTACTTCCCATGGAAATCCACCATATAAATCATCAATAAGAACAGGTACATCCATAGTTCCCCAACAGGAAACAAATTCAATGCAACCAGCACCGGATAATGCAGCATGAAATCGTGTCGTCTGTGTAATTAACCAATTTGTTAAAAATCCACCATAACTATAACCACCAATAGAAATACTATTTGGATTAACAATACCATCGTTTATTAAACTATCAATTCCCGAAAGAATATCACGTCCTGATCGTGATAATGGTTGATAACGAACTTCACTCAAATATTGATCACCATATCCAGTTGATCCTCGATAGTTTGGCTCTAAAACTAACCAACCTTCGGATGCTGCTAATGGTGCCCAATTAATTGGATTAATATCAAATGAATTTAAATTAGCTGCATAGGGACCACCATGTATAAGAACAAGAAGTGATAAATTTTTTGATTCAAATTTTTCTGGTGGATAATGTAGAATACCTTCAATTGTACGATCATCGTCTCTATTTAGCCATTGATATAATTTTATTTTAGGTAAATTTCGTTGAGTAAAAAGTTTATTTTCATTTGTTATCATCTTAGCTAATTGAAGTTTATTTATATCATTAATACAATAAACTTCTTTTGGTCGTTGATAAGATGAATAGACAAATGCGATTGAACAATGATTATGTGAAAATGATGATGATGATGTAATTATTTCATACATTCCATTCCAACCATTATGTAAAATTGAATATTTTTCTGCTGATTTTTGTGTATAAATATGAACATTTGTTCCAATTTGTCCAAGTATATAAACATCACCATCTGGTTTTATTGAATATCCAATAATAGCACCATTAAAATCTTTTGCTAAACGTTCAATTTTGCCGTTCATTAAATTAATAGAGTACAGTCTATATTGTGTACTATTAAATGATCCATTACTTGAACTAAATGGAAGTGCTTGAAATAGAACATGTTTACCATCATTTGATAATTGTAAATATCTTTCGTATTGTTGATTATATGTTAATCTTTTTAATGAGAATAGATTTTTTAGATCAATTGAATAAATTTCAAAATTATCTTGTCTTTCGAATAAATCCGTTACCGATGTGAAGACAAGTTTTTCTTCTAATGGAACATATAGTAATTCACCAATTAAAAATGACATATTCTTTATAAAATCTATTTTTGTTGATAAATCTTGATTTTTTTTATCAATATCAATACGATATATGCTACTATAAACATTTGGTCGATATACTCGATATTGTATAACATCTTTCCATTCATCTTGATTGTGAAATTGTTTTGATATTATTGTAGAAAAATAAAGTGATGAATCATTTTGCGACCATGTTATCGTAACTGGAATTTCTTTTCCAATATGAATAGGAAATAAATGACTTGACCGAATAGAATAGAGATAAATGTATTGATCTGATTTGTTATCATACTGATTCTGTTTTTTGTTTAATATTAAATCATTATTTCCTAATAATAGTACAATCCATTCACCACTCGGTGACCAACTCGGTTTAAATAATTCAGATATTTTTTTTGTAATTAATGTTTTCCATTGTTTAGATGTATCGTATAACCATAAGCAATTTTCAAATGAATTAGTTTTCCATGATGGTTGTCGAGTATGAATTAGTAAATATTGACCATTCGGAGACAGACTCAATGATGGAAAATGAGTATAATTAAAAAATTCATCAAATGTTAATATTGGTTTTGATTTTGTCGACAAACATACAATAGAATTTAAAACGAATAGGACATAAAATTTGATTAGTATCATTAATTTGAACCTAGATAAAGAATATCGAAAAAAAAACTTCAATCTTCATTAGACGAGAATGAAAAATGTTTGTATTTTGTTTAAATAAAACATTATTGAATTGTTCCTATTTATCTATATAAGAATCTATTGGTTAGCTACTGTGAATATTTTTGAATGTAATCGCTCAAGATAGTAAATTAACTTTGGACAATTTTCAATCGAAAAAATGCGTCGATTACTTACCTGTGATACAAAAAGAAAAGACGATAAACAAATTTTGATTTAATAAATGCACATGGTGTTAATTCAATAGATGGCCAAGTGTGGATATTTGCTGCAAAAAACGAATGTAACCTTTCTTTGGATAGAAGATAAACGTACGTGCAAATGTGGAGACGTCTTGCAATGCGATAAATATCATGTCATATTGTACAGGTGAAATGTTCTTTCTCATCATATCAAATGTAACATTTGCCGTGATTAAACTATGTTTTATTTTAGGTAAATAACAAAACAAAATGATAGAAAAAAATATAATGGCGGAGAATGTGAAAGTTAGATTGTTAGAACTCTCTTGGTCGGCATTGTTGTCCACACACACACATTAGCACAACAATAATCACAAAATCACCATGGTAGATAGCTTCAGCCACACTCAAATAATTGCACCGATACCCATATGCTCACACTTAGCGTGATCCTAAATCCATCCAGTGCGTAGACTCGTTCTCTAAATACCTCATATTGCTTGATTCAGTAAGAATTGACTTGTAAATACTGCGTGCCTGCAGCCTAGTCGGATAGTTCTGATCATTTGAACAAAAATGAGGGTAGGTGAAGATGAGTGTCGTTTAACCTGAGATGTTTTTGTTTATACTCTCAAAAATTTCGACTTTCAACCGGACACAAAATCAAGAGACGTCAGTGTTACAGGATCCTAACTGCTTTTCATGGTTCGCATTATAGTCCGAGACGATTTACTGTTCTTTCTAAAGAGAAACTTGAGCATAAGTCTCATTCGACAGTGTGCACATTGTCTGCACTGTAAAATAAAACATTGAACACTAAACTCTAGAAAAGCGTTTATTGCGTTTATAAGCCTCACATAAAATACTGACAAGACCTTTTAGAATATATTCCAATTTCATAAATCCTGCAAGTGGGAGAATTTGCTTATTGATCAATAACACAAATGATTAAAAACTTATCAATATAAAAGAAAGTAGCAAATTGTTAAAGATACAAACTAAAAGATGTGATGATGATAAAATGTTACTGTATAAGTGCAAATCACTTGAATGTTGAATGGCATCATTTTCTTAAGGCAATCAACAAAATTGAAAATATAATATGTCACTATTCGAGACGGATTCTTTGATCAAAGCTGAATTTAGTTTTCGCGTCGTCAAACCATCCATTTGTAGATAAGTATATACTTTTTATTACTTCGTTTTCTCGTATTGCATCGAGTAGGAGTTCAGCTCCATTACTTTCATTGCATGTTCCAAGTAGAAAGATCGTCTCTAACGCATTATTTTCTTTGATCATTTTAGCAATGTTTGTGAGATCCTGTTCATTAAACTGTTTTCCACTCAATACGATCTCATTGATTTTTGTATTGTATTTTAACATCTTGCAAATGGATCTAAGACCTTCAGTACCAATATTATTGTGACTGATATTGAGACTTGTTAATCTTGTTTTCGAACCACAAGCATTGGCAATGAGACGTGCATGATCAGCAGAAAGTTGATCATGAGCAAGGTTCAATGAAGTCAACGTTTTGTTTACTCTAAGAAACTCGCATATTGCTTCGGCAACGGACAACGGTAGCTTTTGATGGGAAATAGTCAAATAATGAAGAGTCTTATTTTCTTTAAGCATTTTGAAAAGGTTGACCATGTTCTTATTATTAACTTTACACTCATCTAATGTTAGCCATGAGATTGAAGTATTTTTTTGCAGTGTCTCTGCAAAATTCACCAAGGCATCGTCACAACTAAATGCAAAATCGATCTTTTTGAAGAATACTCCTTCTAGTAGACTACTAGAATTAAGTCCTCTTGATATGGCTTTCAATATAGCAGAGTCCATGCGCATTTGATGAACGCGTAATTCACGACTCGACGTAACTTCGGCAGTTTTAATTACAGGAATGGGTTTCCATTCATAATCGAGAGCAGGGATTACATGAATATAGCTGTTGGGATCGGGTTGAAAAATAACGAAAGTATTCGTCTTATTTTTGATCATGTATTCAACTACTTCATTAAGAATCTGTGATTTAATCACATAAAGAATCAACAAGTTTTTCTTGTGAGAAAGTGTTTTCACAAGTGATCTTATCACTTGCAATTGTTTCTGATCACGCACTGTAACATTATTTACAGTCAAAATTTGTACGAATGACTGTTTAATTGTGTCTAAAATCTTGAAAAAACCATTTTTTTTAATAACACAATCGTTAATTATTAGTTCATCGATTCGCATGCCATTGTTTATGATTGTACACAACTGTTCAACGTTCTGAAAGTCTTGCTTGCCAGTAAAAGTGACTCGGTAGTTATCTTCATCGTATTCACCATTGATTTTCCTAATTTGCTGTATAAAATCGGCTTGTCGCTCGGCAGCGTCAGGCGTATTGAGATGTAGCATGCATACCCAGCGTATAGGTCCATTTGCATCCACTGCGTGGTGGAGTCCACTTAGCGTTTTGTTTGGATCAACATCTTGTAGAAAAGTAGCTAGCTCAGACCGATCAGCATCGTTCAGGCTCATTCGTGTTGAGTTGACAGAAGATGGTTCTGTTGTATGTTGATCTTGTAAAAAGCTTTCGGTAGCGACATTGCTGACAGTATTCATAGTATCGCATAAAGTATCGTCGTTGAGTTTGTCCGGAATGAAAATAAAAGGGGCAATAGATGCAAAGTCAGGAACGAGAACACCATCGATAAAAACTGTCCCTTGCACTATTCTTATTATATCACGAAGGTATGGACCGTATTTGATGAAGAATTGTCGAGGCTTCTTAATAATATAGCCTTCATGAGCAGTTTGATGAATATGATTTTTGCATTCGCATAGAAAATGAAGCCGAAATTGATGTCGGCTTATATCAGCTTTGTTAGTGTCTTTGATGGCAATAAACAATCGAGGTATTGAAAAGTTGGCAAGCTCTGGATATTGATTCGTGCTTTCCTTTGCGGTTTCAATCGCAGTTGCTCTCACATCATCGATCTGGATTATGACCTTGTCGATATACTTCTCGACTTGGTCTAGTCTTTCAACAATTTGTGAATCGTTTGTAGCTTCTGAATTATTTATTCTTAACTGTTCGGATGAGTGCGCCTCGATCTCGTTAAATCGGTTCGCGAGAATTCGACATGGCTCTAATAGACATCCTGTATTATCCAAAAGAAATGGGACCAATTTTCCATTGAGAGTAAATGAGGAAACTGTTGGAAAATAGCCAACAATATCCTTCAAAAATAAGCACTCTTTTCTATCCACATCGAAACAATCGATATAAATCGGCACTTTTATCTTCGTATCTTGATAGCACACCGTCTGGTAAACATTTGAATGCTCTCGAAACTGGGTTAGTTTTGGTGTCATAATCAATTTGAAGAAACCAGACTCACGAAATTTTGACTGATTTATATCTTTGTTTGACGTAGCAAATTTCAACTTATGTCTTTCGTATTCTCTTTAGCTGTTTTATATACCACTTGATATGACCACTTAAGATCGTACGATATTGACAAAAATATTTGCAGAATAGACGATGCATGATCTTGTAAGATTCGTCAAATATGATAATTGACAAAGCTACAGGCTTTTATAGAATTTTCATTGTAATCTAAAGTCTAGATTATGAAACAAACACAACGAAATAGTTATCGTGATAATTTTAATGAGAGAACTAAATTCAATTGAGTTAAAATAAGCATGAAGCTAAAAATGTGTGCAGGGAAATGTCGGTGTGGTTGTGATTGTTGGTGTAAAAGCAAGGATCTATCCTTCAGTCACATCCATGGTTGTTCTATAGAAATTGAAAACTCAAAAAATGCTCCTTATTGATTCTCCTAGTCTTGGTCAGTCGATTGTATATGTCATGCGATATATCAAATAACTTGATTCGCTATATTCATTGTGTGGAAACAAGAGAAAATATGAGCCATGGTCGGCAGCATGTAGATTAGTTTTCTTTTTTGTGTGCCTGTTACATTTTGAAAAATGAAAATAGGAAAGGTTAGAAATTATCAAGTTTTGTACAGAGCTGAATAATCTATGAAAGGCTGTAAATATATGATACATTATTTGCATGCACTAATAAAGATAAGAATCGAGCTACCATAATCTGATCACATAAAATAAAAATGTCATATATATCTTTTCTTACTCTTATAGAGCATCGTAAAATGAAGAGAAACTCATGAAACGAATTGAGTGTACACTTGAAAAAAGACTTCATACAGGATAATGATAAAGATATTTCAATAAACGCGATTATAACAAAGAAAATGGAAACTTGAGTGAGCTTGAACGGAATAAAATAAAAAATAGGATCATTTCATTCGAATCATCCTATTTCTCAGAATCGATTTTAACTCTGTAGGTACATTTGTAGTGATTCTCATACGTCATTCAATCTTTAGTTCGTTCTAACTGATTCTTGTGTTTCAAACCGATTCTATCTGATTATCTCATTTCGAACAAATCGTAATCAATTACATGCTTTTGAATCGATTTTATCTCACTAATGTTCCTAATAAGCTTTTGACCGAATTTGAACTCCGGATCTTGAGGATTTCCATAGATTTTCCCACCTGGTGGGCATTGTAACTGAATAGTCAATCTTTGATATTAGGACTGAACGACAACGACAAAAACTACTGTTCATATTGAAAAGTCTTTTCTGACTCTCAGGTATTTTATATTTCACAAAATAAATATTAAAATAAGTTAGCAAGCCCTAAAGTGCAAATAAAATCTAACAATCCAAAATTCACTTATACTTCCCTGCTTTGTTAGCAATGAAATCTTATATAAGTGTCCAAGTTCAGTTTCATGTAAGACTACGCTAATAAAGTTTTCAAAATCATATTTTAATAATATTATAGTAGAACACTGAATTCAAATCGTTTTCAACTTGATAAAAATATTGTTATATTTAAAATAATTGCAAAACAGCACTTCATTATTCTAACAACACATTCACGAAAACTGGATTTCATCATCATTCAGTGTAGGAAAAAGACTCGGCATCCGATGAGCACTACTTGTTAATTTTTATTTAAATTTTTTTGTAACGATCGTTATAATTACTGACAGACCGGTCAAAACATAAGATACAATCAAAACGCCAAGGGCTGATACCCACAATCGTTGACGACAATAAGTAGGCAGGAGAGGATTCGTATTTTGCGATTCACGTAGAGCTCGAAATACGTAGATACTCCCAGGAATACGTGTGGCAAACAAAAATAAACTGAAGAGTATCATGAAACCAAGGATGACATTGCTTTCATCGTCACAAGCCGCAGCGACGATAAAGCCGATGACACTAAGAGCAATACCAAGGCCTCCAGCAACTTTGAGATATACAGGTAATTGAGATTGAAATGGGCATTCACCGTATTGTGTGGCTAGTACAATTTGTCCAATTGATATCGAGAGAAGAAAAAATGCTAAAAAGGCGACTAACTTCGCGAGCATACTGCAAATTTAAAATGTCGTCACTGTAATCGTTGCTTGAAAAATATCATACGTTACGTCCTTCTCTTAAGAGCATATAAAGCTAGTTGGAAATTGTATTTCGTCGTATTCTTATCACATAATGGAAACTCATCATATGACTCATTCAATAGAATCGATGGATGTGCCACTGTTAACATTGAAAGTATCTTACCACTATCGCTAAAGAAAGTGAATGATCAGGATAGAAAAAGTAACCTTCAGCTTGAGGATGTAGATGGATGAGAATTAGTATAAAGCTTACGAGTAAGGATCAGACCTCTCTTGATTCACATTATCACCTACAGCGATATCAGCACATCAATAATCACACGCTTACTCGCTCTCCTCCCGGCCTCACAGACATCTTTATATACACCCTCATCACTGCACAGATAGCAAACCTTACCCCGTCATTCTTTCAATCTCTCTACCTCATACAATAGAAAAACAATTAGAAGTAATTATGTTGATCGATGAATTTGATTTTTATTATCAATTTACAATGTATCGATGGATAAGCAAAGCGGAGTCTGTGAATCTTTTGTTATCGAATATCATGATTTTACTACCTAAGTGGAAAATGTTGAGTCGATATGACAGCGGTGTAGGTGAGAATGAAAGTGTGCGTAAGGATCAGGTTGTTGTACATCTGTTCACCTGTATCGACATCGATACTCTGATCAACCCACTTATACTTATACCCACCTGCTCACAATCAATTTCACAATTACATGACCTCAATCTCGCCTCTTAGTTTTATCTTCAACCACCAACGGTCACTTTGTCTTAACAACTGGATGTTTATTTATAAGTTTTCCTTTATTCTTTACTTTCCTCTTGAAAACATCTACACTAATAAAAAATTGTTGCTAAAATGAATTTTTCTTTTTCTCTTTGTATTTCATTTTGTCTGTCATTATCTCTTTTGAGGCAATACTAACCAATCAATGAGTATATAAGAAATCATCAGGAAAATAATAACACAGTTGAAACAATCAAATAATATAAAGCTGATAGTCGCGTTTTTTTTCTCTTCTGTATCTTACGATGGAAGAGTTTGTGCTGTTAGTTAAAAAGACTAGACGTATTCAGATCAAATTAAAGCTTTTTAGCGGCAAATTAATAAATTACAATTATAGGCTGCTCTTGGTGTATACGAGCCGAGATATTCGAATTTTACTGTGTGCAAAATATTTGTTAAGCGCCCACAATTCCAAATATCAAGAGAGGCTTTCTTGTGATGGTTGGATAGAGCTCCTCGAGTTGCATAAGAAGTATGTTTCAAATAAAAAAAGAAACAATTTACAAAAGTTAGAATTTCGAATCTAGGCTCTCTTATATTTGAAGATGATACGATCTTACACGTTTTACGTGAAGTGCTTTTTTTTATTATTTGAAACATACTTTTTCTTACGGAACTCAATAAGTACTATCTAATCATCATAAGAAAACTTTTTCTCTGGTATTTTGACTTGTGAGCGTCATGCATATGCTCTAAACACCGTCCGTGCACACCAAGGGCAGCCTATAATTTTAATTTATTAATTTGTCGGTGGAAGCTTTGATTTGACCTGAATACGTCAAGTCTTATTAACTAACAACACAAACACACATTGATTATCAATTAAACCTAAAATAACTTCGAAGTGAACAAATGAAGACGCTGTTGGGAATTCATTTTTACAAAAATTGTTCAAAATATAAGTACTTCGTCAAATACGTCGGTAGGAAAAATACATAGAATTACAAATAACCTGTTTTTATAAGAGAAGTTATGTAATCAACCCTGCTAAGGACATTAGTCTCAATAGTATTAACAATCGAAACTGATTCAAAAGTATGAATTCAATCGTTCACCATGCAATGGTATTGACAGAGAAATCTCTCATTTTCATTTTTTAAATTGTATAATATGGATGTGTGGATATGGATGTCTGGAGATTAGAGTCTATGAGGGTATGATCGTTACCTTCACCCACATCCACACTGGTCCCGCAGCCGAATAATCCAAATGAAGGTCTTCATAGGCCAATCGTTTTCATTTTAGAGTAGATGTGAGTGTAGGTGAATCGGATACTTATATCTACAGTGACGCATCCACACTCTTGAGCTGCGATGAAACTCAAGACACTTCTTATGAAACGATCCGAAGAGACTGTCGATCAATAGAGAAGAATGACTGACCATACGCAAGATCGATCAGGTAAAAACTACATGTCACTTGATCGTCTGAGCGACTTCTCTTGTGTTGAACTCAATAAATATTGACGTTTTGATACGTTAATAAAAGAGTTCAAGATTCATACAAGTCGAATTTCATCAGCCTGTTTCTGAAAATGTTAAAAATTTGTCGTCTTTATATGATTGATCTTGTAAAACTAATGATTTTTAATAAACAACAATCCTTGATCGAATCATAAACATTTAAACGGGCTGACGAGGGAGATGCATGACGTAAGAGTAATTTCGTCATTCAAATTTGTTTGGTCATACAATGATTTAATAAACAAAGTTGACTGAGTAACAAGATTCCAATTTGAACGAGTCAAATCAATTAACAGTTTTGAAAGCTATTTCAAATTTTCGACAAGATTCGAATTGGTCGAAAATAAAGTGATGTATGTTTAGAATGTGATGGGGAGAGAGAGAATATCTCGATCTTCAATTGTTGTTCTTTTCTTCGATCAATCAATCAGAATGAAGAAAGAAAATGACTTGTCTCGATTCTCATTGTTTTCATTGTGAATAAATTTTCGATTGAAGAGATGGACTTTCGACAATTTTTTTTAACGAGAGATATCTAAGCTCGCATTGGCAAAAGATGCAATTTATCATCGACTGACAAGATAAGAACAACACAAATTTATATGTTCTTCACAAAGATAAGAGTTGTTGGCTCTCAAATGAAAAGATTTCTGTGTGGTGCAGATGAATCTTTCATTAGAAAGTAGAAGTGGAGAATTTTTTAGAACGATTTGATTAACATAAATATTAATTAGTTTCACTTAATTTTTCATATTAATAGACTAAATAATTGCTACAGCCTGTTTTTATTAATATTAACAGCTAAGTAAAACTACTTGATCTACACATGAATAATATTGTATTAGAAGAAAAATAGTCTACTCGTAAGAGAAACTCTTAATCGACACAATATATGTTAGAATTTTTTGAGTTCAGTTTTTCTGGCTAAGAGAAAGGTCGATTTCAAGTCAATAAGTATTTTTTAATGATCTTGATTAAAGAACTTCGGAGTCAGGAATGCAAATTAGCATTGATTTATCAAAAAGTTTTTAGTAGGCTTTTTTTCAGTCAACAGAAGCATATTACAAGTAAATGGCTAGTTTTATTAAACTTGATAAAGTCTTCTCGACAAAGAGGAATCTGAATTTATCATTCATTTACCGAAATTTTCAAGTTGGTTTTTTGGACCTGGCAACATCAATTTGATTAAGAAATTGTTGTTTTCTCTAAATAGGCCTTTCCTGATCGAAAATCTCGAAGCGAAACATTGAAACTCTGATCTCAACCATTTTATCCCTTAATGGTACGTATATTAAGTGTCAGTAGAGAAAGTCAAAATTAATATTAATGATGAAATAAACTGTTAATTGTTAATATGAATGAACTAAGTGGTGTATGGAACCCTTTTTCTATTTATCTTAAAGGTTAAAAGGTCAGTCAATGCATTATTTTAAGTTAACGTCAGTGTTCTTTTCTTGATACGATTGTCAACAACATTTCTTTTTTTTTTTATCATCAAAAATAAGATTAGACTAAGCTCCACTGACTTACCAGCGACCTACACTCCCAGCTAAATCAGAGATTAACTGGCATATCGATGGTCAACAGAAATTGAAAATAAACTCGGCATTTATGCTTGCTAATGTCGTTTCATGCAAATTTTTCTAAAACTGATTATCAAAACCTCACTCAGTTAAATAAGCAGTAAAAAAAGTAGAAGAAAATAGTTGAAATTAAGTTTTCGAAGGAGAAAAAACCTTGTTTTGATGAAATATTCATTGAAGTGATGGCTTATTCGATAATCGATGGTCTTCGTAGAACTCTACTATTTCCAGTAGAAAGTTATAATGTATCAAAATCGGACGATGTTCTCATTAAATTCCATTGTGCAAAGGTTTGTTTGTTTGTTCTTTTATGATTAATGTAAATCTTTGAGATTTGCAGGGTCTTCCAAAGAAAGATATAATTGGATCATGTGATCCGTATTTCATCAGTCAAATTGATGATGGACGAATTCAGTTCATGTTTGTATTCTTGAATAAATTCAATTGATTTCGAAATCTATTCATTATTAGATCTTCATGTATTCCGAATACATTGACTCCAGTTTGGAATGAGAACTGGTTAGTCAGAAATGTTCCTCGGCAAGCAAAACTCTCAGTAAAACTCTTCGATAAAGATGATGATACAATCAATGATGATTACATTGGTAATTTTGAACTAGTTCTTCTTCCAACAATTCGTCGATCGATCGAGATTAAAACCAATTGGAGCAAAGTGCAAGGAATATTCGTATTGAGCATTGATCGTTTTCCTTCATCACCCGAGACAAGAATTCTTCGTCCGTACACATTTGATGGCCCTGTTCGCTATTCTCGTCACAACTCCTTAGTTCTTGGTCAATTAGTAAAAGTCAATGATGAACGACTTTATTCAACTTGGGAAATTCATTTAAAACGAATCGATTACTTCTTCAATCCGAACAAGAAACAGAAATGGAATTCATCGTACAAAGCAGCACAATCGATTTTCGAAGGACCGATGTCATTGGGTATTCAGTTATTGATAAAACAAGCACATCATATTCTCTATGCGAAACATACAACAAATCAATTCGGTGTTTTAAATTCCAGTGATGATCTTTGGAAATTATTATCTGATGAAACAAAATCCAAAATCAAACCCTGTGTTTACACTTACATTATTGATGATTCAACATGGAAATTTAGTGAAACAGGTGCATCATTTTTCGTTGACTTTGCATCGAAACATGCTCTTCATGCAAACTGTTCCGAAACTGTTCGTTATGCAGGAGAATTTCATCCACGACCGATTTGTGGATGGAATAGATTTAATTCGTCTGATCCGTTAGATTTTTATCAATGGGAATTAGTTATTGATAATGGATCAGGCACCTATGCACCGAACCGATCACTTCTTGGCAAATTGAATAATTTACTCTCTTTCAATTTTCCTCGTTTGAAAGTCGTCACTTATCATTTTGAAGACCCTCAGTTAAAGTCAAGTATTGAAGCTTGTCGATCGTTTGCCAAATCTTATACAATTAAACCAATGAGAACAGTCGAACAACTTGTTTCAGCACAATTTAAACCGTTTACACCGAATTGACTCCGAATTAAGTTTCATAAGTCCTTTTCGATTAATTGATATTCTTATTCAAGAATATTTATTCATCAGGCATAGCAAAATAAACATTTCAATTTCGTTTTAACTTCGAGAAATGATTAATCGATTTGTATATGTTCTTCTATTATTTGTTCTTATGGAACTGAATTTGATTCAATTCTGCAAGGACTAATCCCTCGTCGTGTCAAATGACATATGAAATAGAGATCGATCACTTCTGCAGGCATGAAGAAAGAGAGAGAAAGATCCATCCAATTTCTCTTTCTAATGACTTGCTTCATGCCAAACAGTAACTCAATAAGTTAAAAGTCATTTCGATTAGATAAATGTCCTATAAAATGATTGATAGAAGAACTATTTTTAAAATCCTCTGCTGTTGTATATGTTCGAGTTAATAATCTTAAAAAGATTTCTTTGTTTTAGCAGAGAAAGAGAAGCCATTCGACTTTTCAGTTTAAACAGAAATCAATAGAGATTGAAAGAGATAAGTTCATTCGACACTATACTTCTGCCTTTTGGAGATGATTGGTGTCTATTCTGATGAATAAACAATACAAGTTTGTAAAATATGCAAATAACCACAAACATCTTGAAAATAAAGTTAGTTTTAGCTTTCTACATATAAACTGTTTAAATTCATTCTCAGAAATGTATATATGTCAAACAGGATTGAAGAGACATCAGTGGAATTTCACATCATTTTATAATGATAACACATCTAGGTTTATTTTCAAACAACCTCGCAAGTAGTAATTTTTAATAAAATTATTATGCCTGTGGGTTGTTTTAATTATAACCAGATGTGAGGATCATGTACACATCAATAACAAATTACTTGTTCATATCATGACTAATGAATTTTTTACTTCATGTAGGCTCGACAAAAACAGAAGTCATAATAAATTGTGTTGATCTCACTCCGTCAATACGAAAAATTTGCGATACACATTCGTCTAGTTGTCGACAGAGGCATTTTGAGTAACTCTTGAAAAAATAGTCTATTATCAGAATGAATTATCATCGTGGAACCTATTGTAACAAATAGGTTTGCTGGTTTTGCAATTTTTGTACACTACTATTCTGAAAATTAATTAACGTCATGAAAAATCGTTCAAGGCAAAAAGTCATATCAATCGCTAATTAATAAAAAGGTTTTTGAATGGTATTATTCAAGACTTATGCATACACATCAGTGATGGCACCGTTCCAATAGACATAATCATATAGCAACGCTTGATCTCTTTAATGGATGTGAGTGTTGATGGATGAGAAGAAGAACGATAACAATACCCATATTGTCAAGACGTTCTGTAGTCATTTTATTTAGACAAATTCATACGACTGCATAGCTACTCTTCCAATGATGAATGACGAAGAGCTCGATCAATTATTCTCTTCCATCAAGAAGTTAAAAGCTTTCCGTCAAGGTAAACTTCAAAACCAAAACAAACTTGGATAGCAGATAGAAAGCATATTGATTTTTTTGGTGCTTCAAGAACTGAACAAGCCTATGCGGCTAGCTGCTATGACATCTTATGCTGTAGAAATACTCACGTCGATAAGTCGAGCTTGTTTAATGCTATTTGTGCGGCTCCGATGGCTTTGACAAGTCTTAGCTTAAACTTCTGCACGACATAAATTGACAGCTATTTGTATCATATCAGTTATGCGTTTAATGCGTAAACATATAAATATGATATTTCTTTCTATAATACACTGAGTATTGAATTATTGAACCCAAGGAAAGTAAGCAAGTATGTGGCATTACTTAACATCTGCTTCTCTTTGAGTACATAAGAAATAATTAAGAAAATAATAACGGAGTTTATACAATCAAATAATAAAAACCTGATAGTCGCATTTGCTTTCTCTTCTCTATCTCACCATGAAAGAATTTGTCTTGTTAGTCAACAAAGACTAGACACATTCGGTTCAAATAAAAACTTTCACTGCCACACTAACAAATTAGAAATGTAAGCTCTTCTTGGTGTACACAGACTGAGATATTAGAGTTTCATCGGGTTTAAAGTATTTGTAAGGCGTTCACAATTCGAACTATCTGCAGAAGTTTTTTCGTGATAGTAGAATAGAATTCATCGAGTTGAATAAGAAAAAGTATGTGAGAAATCAAAACAATTTTTTTTTTTACAAAAGTTAGAATTTGGAATCTATTTTACTTTCTCTTATGAAACTCAATGAGCTCTATCCAATCATCACAAAAATCCTTACTGGATATTATGAATTGTGAGCGCCTTACAAATACTTTAGACACAGTGAAATTCGAATATCTCGATCCGTACATGCTAAGGACAGCCTATACTTTTTATTTTGTTAATTTGCTGGTGAAAGCTCTAATTTGACCAGAATACGTGTAGTCTTATAAACTAACAATACAAGCACACATCTATTGTCAGTTAAACTTAAAATAACTTCAAAGTGAAAAAAACTAAGACATTGATGAGAATTCCATTTTACAAAAAAATTATTGAAAAAATAAATACTTCGCGAAACAGTTCTGTAAGAAAAATACAGAACTGAAAATAACCTGTCTTTGTAATAGAAGTTATATAATCATGTCTGTTGACGACACTACTTTCAGTAATATTAAATATTGAAAGAGATTCAAACGTATGCATCTAATGATGTACCATACAAGGATATTGTTAAAAAATATCTCTTATTTTATCTATTTAAATTGTGCATTTTTTTTGTGAATAACATTTGGTATTCATCGTTATATTTCATACGACGATAAATAGATATTTAAAAAAAAAGTTTCGAACTTAGTTTGACCGAATTGAAAATGACCAATTTTTCACTGTCGTACTTGGCTTTTATGACCTATTTATAAACATAAATATATGAAAAGCTCCATTTCTCATTATAGAGTTTCATATAATATCTAGTCAAAACAAAAATTATCCGAAGTATCTCAATGTAATGAACGCATAAAATAAACACAAATTCATGATTATGGACTCCTATATCATCTGCTATATTTCATGTTTTTCAACAGCAATAAGACTATGATAAGGACCGATTATTGATATTGTTTTGCACAGGATCTAAAAAAGTTTACTAAGGATGAAAATGTGAAATTAAATATAAGCAAAAATAGTACAAGTTGTTTGAAGCAAGCAATCTTCGTGGTAAATCATTAAGTTTACGAATCAACATGATATATGAGATCAACACAAAAAAAAATACCAACTCATCTTATTACAATCTGGCTTAACAGTATTAATATATCAAAGTCTTCTCTACTCAATGCATAGATTGTATTTCGATCAAAGTAAATTATTTAAAATATCTTTCCTGTTCGCTAATTAAAATAACCGCATTACGTCTTCACAAAGTAGTATGTAAGCTAAACATGAGTTCGATTGTGTAAAATACAACGTTTTCTTTAATGTTCGTCATATTTCCTATGGTTTAAACGTAAGAGAAAAAAAAGAAAAGATCATGTGTGTAAGTAGAACACGTATAAGATACGACGAAGAAAACGAGAACTCTCATAGACACTGGAACGAGAAACATTATTCAAGAAAGAGCATTATCAAGACACAATCATAAAACTCAACAACAATGGAGCTAGAGAAAATAGTAACAAAACCAAAATCTCATCCACCTTTAATATGTAATATATGTGGTGATATCGCACGTGGTTTCAATTTTGATGTTATCACATGTTTATCATGTAAAGCGTTTTTTCGAAGAAATGCTTTCCGATTATTGGTAAGTTAATTTTATTCAATGAAATCTATTCTATACTTTTTATGTTCAACAGAAAATACGTCGTTGTCAACGTAAAAATTGTTGTAACATAACAAAGGAAACACGTAGTTATTGCCCAGCTTGTCGTCTAAAAAAATGCTATGCATTTGGCATGAATCCGAAGTTAATTCAAATTGTTGTTCAGCGCGAAACTAACGGTGGTATACATGAACAATCAAAAATAGTAAAACAAAAACAAATTCAATTACCAACAGTATCATAAGATTATATTTTGTTTTTTTTTTAATATAAATTTTCTTTTTCTATAGCCTAAACCAATTGATCTTCTTGAAAGTGATCGTTCAACTTTGACATATGAACAATGGAATCTTCTTTCAAATATTATTCTATTATATAATGAAAAAAATGTTATCAATCAAGTTAAACATATACTTGAAAAAAAGTCTTCATTACCAGCAAAATTACGTTTGAAACCTGCTGATACAATGGATCTTATGAGCAAACCGTTGGAAAACATTGTACTACTTATGGAACATTCACCTCACTTTCGATGTTTATCAAGCAATGCTTATCGATCAGTTGCATTACATAATGTATTTTTCACTGGTGGTCTCGATGGATATTTTGTCGCTCGTGAAACTAATCAATTTAAGAATGTGAGTTATATGATTGCTAGTAGTACTATTTATGGACATGATTATATGATGAAATGTTCTCAAGATAACGAACGATTGGAGCCAAATGGAAATCTAATTAAAATTATGTTATTTGTTTTAATATTTTCAAGTAATTGTTCAATGGTTGTATTTAATGATCAAGAAGATATCAATACTATGTCAAGTTCAATTGAATTAATTCATATACAAGATATCTATGTGACTATGTTATGGAAATATTTAATTTATCTATATGGACATAATGAAGCAGTAAAACGTTTTTCTTCATTGGTAAAAACTGTTCTTGATATGTTAGGTGGAGTAGAAGAACTATCGAAAAATGTAACTCTACATAAAATGATTGATAGAATTGTAACACATACAGAACGTGCTTTGGTCATAGAAGAATGAATCATATTATAATTTATCTTTCATTAATTAATATATGCTTGTCATTTATATTGATTACAATGAATATGAAGAACTGAGTTAACTACTGTTTTTCTTGTTCAATATATGTTAAAGTTATTGTTAGCATCTTTAAACTGTACTGTTTTGTTAATTATTTTCTTGTCAACAATCAGATGACTGTTGTGCAAGTTATTATTAATCGTTGTTTCGTATTTTTATTTATTCAAAATTTTATCATGTAATTTCTCTGTTGCATTAATTTAATCGTTCATTGTCAAAGACCTTATAATAAACGTTGATTATATCCATTAATTAGTGTTTCATTTTTTCTTCTGTCTTGTTTCAGACAAAAAGCATGTTTTATTCACAATTAGACACAAGTGTATAATAACAATAAATTATCCTCAAGCTCTCGTGGATTTTCTCCTATCTTGATCACGATTGAAAATAAGTCACGTTCTTCTAGAAATTTTTTATTGCTTGTCAATGCTTTATTAGTGCATTTTTTTTTCATAATTAAATGCTAATTATATCTCTAATGATTATATCTTTTGAAATCTTTCATCTATTTTATTTTAATATATCTGAAAGATATCTTAAAGCTTGTATGAAAAATTTTCTAAGCACTCATTAATGCTTGATTTAATGCACTACTTATGTTCTGAGTATAGCATACCTGACATAAACCAAGCATATCTTAGTTGCGTAGGACTTAGACTGGAAAACATCACGTATGCATTTTTAAAATACTAATAGGAGTCCAATTAGTCGTAAATATATTTTATATGATCAATACATGTCTAGGTAACTTTACAGTTTACGAAAAACTATAATAATAAGTCTCGGGAATAAGTAAAACTTGGAATAGATTGTAAAGAATTAGTTTTTAATCTATTTTTAACAATGATGAAAAACAGGAAGACGTCAATGTAATTTTACTGAAGATTTGAATATCATAAATGCTGTAATTTTTACTGTATTGAAAATCAATTTATGAATGCTTTATTGTGATATTAGTATTTGTTGATTATTTTTGTTGTTGAATAATAGATTTTCTCTCGTATAATCATTCTAATGTGTACAAGATTCTTTTCTCCGTACTAATCTATAACTATTAGATCTTAATTATATTTAAAAATAGTCGTTGAGTTATGACAATTGAATAATATAATCTTCTTTCGAATGTATTTATGCATATAATGAACAAGATATTCAATATACATTCCTTTAGCAAATAGCCAATGGTCAAGAAAAAGTGATGTGTCATGAAAAGTCATTTATAAGCTTAATTATACCAAAGAAAAATGCTTGACTAAATAGCTCATTAATCTGTAGTTCATTCTTCAATCTAGTGCATGAATTTGTAACCAATTTTGAGATGTACCTTGCTATTGAATTATGAATCAAAACGATTTTATTTACTCTGCTTTTATTCGTTACTACAATCGGCATTAGTAAAAGCGACGATATTTGAGTACATTCATCGATATAAAAGATTTGCTGAGTTATTTCATTTATATGAGTATTATAAGACTTCCTTCCTGTTCGAAAAAAGTTAGTTTTCGTCAAAAACATGAAAATTGAGATAAAAATACAGAAAGATAGCGCAGGGTCTGGTCTTTCATAATTCACTGATTTATAATTTAACACCTCATTTTTCAGCAATCTTAGTCAATTTCTATTTTAAAAATAAGTTTTTTTTTTTTTGAGAAAAAAGCAGGAGATTTCTTCGCATTTTCTCTGTTTGTTTTCTTTTTCATCGTACATTCTGGAATTGCCGAAGAAGCATCATTATAGTCAAATGCTTTATTTTTAATTTGAAAGATCATTTCAAGATGCAGGTTATGACACAGTTCCTTTGTTGAATTTAGCTTAGTTACTATTATGTAAAAGATTACTTTTATAATTAGAGCGATATATTTTTTTTGAGAGTTCTTCGAGGCATTGAACTTGTCATCTATATTGTTTCCTTAAAAAGTAAAAATTAAAAAAAAAGATTCTCTGATGCCCTTGTATCATGACATAACTTTCAAGCAAAAATAAATCAAGTTTATAGAATGAAGGTCCACAAAAAGTTTTGAACTTTTTTACTTTTGTTAGTTGAATATCTCCCGGAAACATCTTAGTATAGAACTGAAAATTTTATCGTAGGAGGAAGAGCATAAACGAATATAAGAAAATGACATCAATCTAAAAAATACCTTTCAGGATAAAGCTAATAGAAAGAATTAAAACTCTTATTCAAGTATAAGAATAGATTTTTACTGAATATACGTTTAATAATAACAAATACTATTCTGAATGAAAACATTTTTAGAAACTTTTCAATCTTTCAAATGTCTTTTATGAAAATCGTTTTCGAACATATTACATCTTTACAAAACAATGGTCTATTTTAATGCCCAGATAATGTATCTATGAAATTTGTATACACTTAAAGAAATGATGATTGTTCACAAACAAGTATTCTTTTTCTATTGTTGACTGCTTCTATGTTTAATTTGATATTTAAAGGGAAGCAGCAACGTGACACTCAATCGATGAAAGGTCTCAAACGAATCGAACCAGTCAAACTTGGTTTGATCTGATCTCTGCAGTGGACTGAATATTTTATGAGATAGACTTTTATATTTTTATTTAAGCATATTTTAAATCGATATTTGACAATGCAGTGTATAATTCAATTAAAAAAAAAAAACAAATCTTCCTTGTAAATTTTATTCAGTGAAAAATTCTTTTGGTTTAATATTATTAATCGTTTTAAAACAAATTGGACATGACTGTTGTATCAAACTATAAGCACATAAATAACAAAAATAATGTTTACAATCTCCTGTTGACTCATGAGGCATTACAATCGATTGTTCACATACAGAACATATATTTGTTTGTTCAAGTCGTTTCATTATTGTTCCCAATAAATATTTTCTCATTAATGTACGTGCTTTTAATGAAGTTAAAAATGGTATTAATGTACCTAATGTTTCATTAAGTGTATGCCAGATTAATTCACGTTTCATATATGAATAATCAAGTATACGAAGTGATGGAGGATGATTATGAACTGTTTTTAAACGAGCTAATCGTTCGAATAAATTAATATATGTACCACCATGAAGAAAGAATAGAAAATTAATAAATACAAGTGATTTATAAATAAATTGAAATGGTAATAAACGACGATAATCAACTAAAAATTTTTCATAGATATAAGAAAAAACCAATGATGATAAATAAAGAAATTTTTGATAACGAGTTAATGGTACTGATGAATATTTAATTTGTAAAAGTTGTTGACCAATTGTTGTTGAATAACGTGATGAAAGTAGTGTATTATATGATGTTAATAAACGAAGAAATAATTGAAATTCATGTTTAAATGAATGTGTTAAATGTGAATAATAATAACGAAAAAGTGATGAAAATATATCCCAATTATATGAATTAAAATCTTCATCAAGATAATTTGCATCTATTTGAGGTGTTCGAAGTGCTGTCATTTGTTTATCCATTATGATCTGAAATAAATTTATAAAATATTTTAGATTATCGCTATTTCTTTATGTTGAAAGTTTTGTCAACTAGTAAAACTGTTTTATATTAAAACAAAACTCATTTTCGTCACTTACGATTTATCTTGGGTCATTATTAGACTATATTCGTAGTTCTAATTAATGATAATATAAATGTTGGGTTCATGTCAAATAAAATGTTAAGTGCGCAAAAAATTATTCGTAATGTTCTATTTATTGAAGAATATGTTTACAATACGTCTCATGTAAATAGGACAAGTTTTGGGGAAAAAAATGATGTATTAGATTCTAAGAATTACATGATATTGACAGTCAAATTCTATACGAACATTTTATAACGTTTGTCAACTCATTACTAATTCGATAATTGTATTATTTCCTTTTTCAAAAAAAAAAGTGATAGCTTTAATAATTAGTAAATAGTGTCGATTTTAAGCAACAAAATTCGTCATAAAAAATCTATTTTTTCAAAATATTTTTTTTAATAAAATAAAACAGAGGTATAGTCAAGCATACATATATTTAATAAAAGAACAATTAAAATGTTACATTTACTACTTGATTTAACTATTCAATAAAATATTTATTTATTTAAATTTTTTCTGATTAGTAATTTGTTCATTGGCTTTTTTTAACAATATCATATTGCGCAGTATAATAATATTTAATTTGATTTTAAATTTTCATCTAATTCACAAAACCAATGGAAAGCTTTTAAAGTAAAATAAATAAATTTTAACTTGATTTTTTAGTTAATTTTTTCATACCTATTGGTAAATCAAGTTCAATAATCTTTTCGTCGGCTATTTTATCTCTCACGAATCGATGGTACAATACTCGTTAATATAAATTCTGTAAAGAATAAAATTCGTTTTTGAAGGAACGATTATTCTTCCATTTACTCGAAATTCGAAAGTATTTTGTGGATTAAATTCACTAAATTTATCAAGTTCTTGTATGATGGAATATAATAAGCACGATGTTAAAGCAAAAAAAAAAAAAGTCTTATAAAGTAATTTTAATCTGATTATCACCATTTTCAGCTGCTGTTATTAATTTATTTATTTTTTTGTAACGTTTGATACATCTGTTGATTAAGATACTAATGATGATAAACAACTATTCAATGAAGATTGAATTCTTATTGAATATTCGAAAGAGTTTTTATTGCTTGTTTTTTTGATACAGATATCTAAACTACTAAATTAAATATAATTATTAGATTTTATGCGAAAAAAAACGAACAGACTATATCAGCTTGTTTAACTTCTTCAACATTTTCTTTTTGATAAATCAGCATTATAACAATTACAACATAATGTTTTTTTTAATTTCATTTATTAAATTAAACGAAGATTATATTTCAACGAATGGTTTCTATAATACTATTGCCTTATCATCATGTCGAACCACAACTAAGTAAAGAAATAAATATCTATCGACGATAGTAATGACCTCTATTGATATAATATATGATCTTACCCTTAACAAATCATAATAGAAAATTTCTTATGCTTTTATTTCTTGCCGCTTTTTAAGTTCGACCAGACGACTTTCTTTTCCAATGTCTAGCGAAGTAAGAATAGTTTTTTGTTAACAATAAAGAATTTTTTATTTACTTTTAGACTAAAACAAATATTTTACAGGAAGATAGTAATACTATTGAAGAAAAACGTCGAAAAAATGTTATTGATAATCAACATTTTCTTGAAAATCTTAAACTCTTTAATGTATTTATTTAGTTTAATTGAATAATCAAATATTTTCAAGTGATTTCTACTGTAGGTTCGTGATGATTTAAAATCAACAGTCAATTCAGTAACAACAACAAATAAACCATCACGAAAGAAATCTAATCGAAAACAGATTGTCGATCAGTAAGAATTACTTAACGTTGTTGTTAAATATGACCATTCAGAAGAACATTATTCCCACACAGATATTAAGTCAAATCAATTAGGGTCTTCTTTAGTTTTCATCAAATTATAAATATTACCGAATGATAATGATCTTGTTCAGCAACTATTATACTTAAGAGAAATTGGACTAGATTCAAAGTATTGTTCTAATTGAGTGACATTGAAATTCTGATCTGACCATGGTTTCAATATATGTTCGCCTGAAGTTCTTACCGATTTACCGTTTATTTTATATTTATATATAATCTGAATCAGGGATGCCCACCGCACAAGTAGCAGCCTCTTTTTTAAGGAAATCGTAAGGCTAGAAGAAATTGCACCCGATTTTTCTGTCTACAAATTCAACAGTCAGAATCTTGATGACTTTGATGAATTCCATCTAATTATACTAATTTAGCAGAATGACGGAAGAGATTTTCGAAGAATTTCTCGAAAACCATCGCGACAGCAGTACATTTTCAACAGGCGACGAATATCTATGATCCAAATTGAAAGAGATCTACTGATGTTATCTGGTCACTTTTATCGAAACAAACACTTTATATCAGTGATATCTAACAATAAATTTCATTCATTTAAAGACTAGGTAGATCTTCGGTGATCGTATTAATGTTCCATGCGGTAAAAAGAAATCAAAGATCACTCGTCTGTTCTGCATGGGCTGTACCAGAATGACTTAATACTATCTCTTTAACAAAAAAATCTTTATGTTTGCCAGTAACATGAGAATCGGTCCTCTATTTCTTTGTTTTCATAAGAATATCTGTCAAAAAATGACCAATCATTTTTTGAAACTAACGGATGATCCATAACGAATAAGGATCTTCGAGGTTTTGTCAATAACTTCTCTATTTTTCAATGACTTCAGACCAGGTTTCTTCAAAAGATTCATCATTTTGATTATTTACAAAATCTTATATCAATGAATGTTACAGAGGTAAAAGTAAAACATCATTCAAACACGAAGTATAGTTGACCTCTATTTCCGTGTTTTCATATCGAACTATATAGACAAATTGTATTATCCATTTTGTAGAGCGTCGAAAAACTTTATCGTATTTCTTATGTTGAAAAAACGTTCAGTCTAAATCTATGAAAACTAGAAAAAATACAGAGATTCACATTCTTTATAGGCTATCTGTTATTAGATAAGGATAAAATTTGTTATTGATATAATTTTTCTTTTCTCTTAAGATCTGAAATACGTCGAAGTTCTCGAATTCAATCAATGTCTCGAATTAATTACAATAATCAATCAATAACTGATGATGAAGATTTTATCTTATCAACTGATGAAACATCAAATGATGAAGAAGATAACTTAAGTTCTGCTTTTATAAACAAATTCGATAAAGATTGGCAACCATTACATTCAGAAAAAATATCTATTACGAAAAAAATACGGCCTGTTCGCAACGCTACTAAGACAAATTCTGGCAATGTGAAAATATTTATGCCAAATGTTGGATTACAAGCATCAGAAATTGTTTCTGAAACTAATTCTCATAAATCTTATGTATCTAAAAAAATGAATGTTGCAATTTCATCATCAGAAGAAGAAGATTAACTTTTTTTAGATAATTTTTTTTTTGTTTAAATAAATATGAACACTTGATTTATATATTGTAGATTTGAAAAAAAAATGCCTGAAGTATTTGTATTCTATTTTCAATATTGTTTATTAATTTTTATTTTCTCAGCGAAATGTTGAAGAAATTCGTCGAAAAAATCTTGAAGAAAATCAACTCTTTCTTAACAAACTTCGAATGAATAATGTAAATGTTTTTTAATCAATCTTTTACTAATGATAATTTTTTCACTATAATTAAGATTCGAAATGATTTTCTTCAATCGGCTCGTACAGTACTTCGCAAAGATGAAACTAAAACAAAGCCTAAAATTCATTATGAGAAGTAAATAAGGAAGAAAAAATAAAAGACTTTTTTTTTCATTTTAGTTTAATTGTTTCTCTTTTTAGAGTTGAACGTTTAACTCGATATAGTTTAAAAGTTCAATCAGGTGAAATTCAACCATTTGTTCCTCAATGGCAACAAAAAACTAATAAGAAAAAAAAACATCATCCTTCGAAATGGACTTTATTTTATAAAAATATAGCTAATCCTTATCAACGTACATTTAAACCACGAATTCGAAAATAATTTTCTTGAACATATAATTAGATCTTAGATTTGTATATATTTTGATTACATAGATTGAAAAAAAATATTTGTCGTTCAGATTAATATATATATTATCTTATGTTTTACAATGATAGAAATAAATAAACTACTATCGTGATAAGAGATCTAAGTCGATACTTAGATTGGTAGCGACTGACGATGCTTTAATTATTATTTTTTTGCCTTCCGGCAATGACTCAATATTTTCGAGGGTTTTCTTAAGAAATTAGACAAGAACATCTTTGTAAAATTATCCTAATTACAGAAAAACATTACAACTCAATCGGATGTCCCAGAAATAACTTACCAAAAAAAGGATAGAATATCTCCACTTTACGTCGAGCGAATGAATTAAATTTTTCTTAACGATACAGAAGATTTCTAATCTTTTATTTATAAGCAACAAGTTAAGTAATATGTAGTGATGAGGATTCTGGTTTTTCACTTAGCAATACAGGTGCTAGCAAAAAATGGGATATCCTTCTCTAGCAATGTCAATGAGTTCGAGATATCTTGAATGGCCTTTAATGTCTTCCTTCTTAGAGATTCATTACTTTTTTAAATTCACTAATACTTCGTCTATTCCGCATGTGTGTGTGTTCGACAACTCTGTTGTTTAAGCAAAAAAAGTATTACCTTTACTATCAAAATTATAACAGTAAATATTATAATGATTGTTATTTAGTAATTTTCGCAGAAAATTTTAGAACGCGTTATCTAGTAACATCCCTTTAAAACTAATATCATATATTTAAAAGAGAAAAATTGACATTTTTTGGCAAAGATAAACAATACACTTGAGGCTTCTGTAATATTAACTAAATCCTCATGTTGTTAAATTTTTTCAATTGAAAAAAAAATCTATTTGAAATCTTTGAGGTTTTGCTAGTGTATCTAGCTGTCCAAGATACTCTTGGATATTCTTGTACAGAAAGCTCCCAAGAAATTCGTGCGGCTACAATTAGATTTTGGCAGAGTACTTGTATGGATAGTCAACTGCAAAAACTCAAACGTATTCGGAAACGTTTTTTTATAAATTTCATTTTATAGAGCTTTTTTTCAGTGACGATTTCAATAAAAAGAATTTCCGCTTTTCATCAACAAACGATGGTACTGGGCTTAAAATACTATACAAAATATCAAATACCTTAGGAATAACTTAATCTTTTTCAGTATTTTGACTCTAGAATATTCATTCATTGATGATAATAGGAAAATCCTTTTACTGAAACCATCACTGAAAAAATTTTACTGGAACCGGATATGTCAAAACAAAAATTCTGATATCTCTGCATTTTTATTTGTTGACTACTGATGAAAGCATCCGTAAGAAAAGGACAGCTTTTTGATTGAAATAGATAGCACTAGATTTCAAGTATGTTAATAAATTGATGATTTATGAATAAAAATTTTTGGTTTTCCTCCATCATCAAGAAAAAAGTTAGCTGATGTCATCAAAATGCATTCGAAATATTCCATTATTTGTTTAGTAACTTCTTTCCAAGATGCCTGATAGTATTTATTTGTGTGATACGTTAGCGATGACGAAGCTAAAGTAGTATTTGATCCAGTCAGTATTCAATAAAGTTTCAATAAAAGTTCTCTATGAGATACTAAGAGCAAAAACATAAATAAGACATGGTGAACTCCATCTATTTTTTAGATTAATCTCTGTTCAACTATCGTATTTTCAAACTTACATATGATATGAGGAATGAAGAGATATTTTCCTAATTGAATGATTATACATATATATATATTAATTTCTAATAGATTATGTCGTCTACTAAACATAATGTAGAAAATATTCGTCGAAAAAATTTGGAAGATAATCAACTTTTTCTTCAAAGACTTCTCATGATTAATGTATGATGTTTTCTTTTAATAATATTTCCTATAATATTTTTTTTTTACTTTTCATCAAGATTCGAAATGATTTTCTCAATTCAGCTCGTTCAATTCTTCGTAGAGATGGAAGTAGTGAAATCAAGAAAAAAAGTCCTCTTCAACATGAAATGTAAGCATTTTTTAAAGAAGCATTTCACAATTGAAGTTTATTGACGAAAAACCCATCCTAAGTATCTTGCAAATCATTACGCTCTATTTCCAGTAGCTTCCCAGGAAGTTTGTTTGTTGAAAGTCACTGGAAAATTGCTGATTGAAGGGTTCTGATTAGCAAAATGACCTGGAAAATGCTTTCTTGTGCCTTAACAATTTTTCAAATTATGGAAAGTTCTTTGTAGTATATGAATAATTACCGAAGTTTCTTGAAAATTTGCTTTTCATACATCGGTAAACTTCAGTATTTTCTCAAAATATTTTTTTGCGTGTTAGTAGTTTCCAAAATTATTTTGGTCTTCTGTTTTTAGTACTATCGAAATGTACCCCTATAGATAGAACTTAGTTTTACTTCATGGTTTTCTCATAATACTATCAAAAGTCACAAACTACAATCCAAACAGCTAGATTGAGATTAGCTCTTTTAAGTTTTAAACAATCTAATCGAAATATTATCACTTGCAATACTCATTCATTTTTTTATACAAAAAACAAAAATCTTTATTTAATCTTAAGAGTCGAATATGCAACTCGATATCGTGAACAATTGAAATCTGGTGAAATCGCTCCATTTGTACCTGAATAGCAACGTCATATTGAAGCAAAGAAAAAAGAAGCAGAGAAGAAGTTAACAGAAAAAGAACGAAAGAAATTGGAATATGAACAAAAAACACAAGAACAGGAAAGAAAAAAGCAAGAAATATTATTTGAACAAGAATTGAGAAAATTAGAAAGAACAATAAAAATAGAAGAAAAACAAAAGATCAGACTTGCTAAACGCCGTCGGCACAAATCATCGAAATGGACTGTTTTTTATAAGAATAGTATTAATGGTAACCCTTATCAACGTATATTCAAATCAAGACATACAAAACTGGATGAACGAATTCAACAGAATTTATTTTAGTTTTCTCAAATTCAATTAGCCAATGATTTATTATTTTACATTTGTATATATATATATATATTTATTTATTTATTTATTGTTGTTATAGTTCAAATACCTGTTTTTTTTGCTATGGTTTATATGAAAAGAAATGAAACTATTTTACCTTAATAAAACAATGAAAAGTTATCAAAACTATATAAGTCGAAAGCCATTATTGTTACTTATCTAGAGAGCGGAACGCTTTGAATCCAGAGTAGGTTCAGAAATCTTTATGAGATTCCCATCGTGAAGTCAACAATAGAAAGGAAAAGTTCGAATCATTTTGTGCCATTTATATGAAACACAGTTAGTGTTTCTTGTTCCAATTCATATTTGGCATTGTATAAAGTTGGTATGGGTTCAAAAAAAAAGAATTTGCATCTGGTATCAAAAAACGTGCACTTGAACCAGTACATTGACATTGATCTTTAATTAATCACGACTGTCGAAAGAAGAGTTTTTGATCTATTTTACTCTAAAAGATTAAAAACATTTGTTGAAAGTGTTTCTCAAGCATGTAAGCTTATCATGTAAGTCCACCAACTCATAAATCGCTGTTGAGTTCAAATTACATGGATTATATGAACTCACATCAGCTATGAATACTCAGCAAAGAATTTGCCCCCTTATTTTATTACTACGGAGATATTCCATTTTTATGGTATTTGTTTTAAATAATTGCTGTGGTTCCTCTCAGAAACACAAAAAATAGGTTTTCAAATTTCGATCAGAAACTTTTCATAGAGACAATACTTAATGAGAGTACTCTATTGTGAATGCTTCAACTCTGTTTATTTGTTTTTGTAATCTGAAATAAGGACATAAAAATCTGCCAATTTATGTGAGTGATTTGAAAGATGCGTTTTTACCATAATTGTGTCTTAGGATAGAAGCAGTGACAAGATTTGAAACATTCTCAAAAACTATTCTCGTTAAGATTCGTCTCTGTAAAAATTTTCAAGTTGAAATTCGAAAATCAGTTTTTCTCATATTCCTGTCAACTCTCCTCAAGGTTATTTGTAGCTCATTTGGATCCACAGATGTACATAGTTTCGACTCAAAAGCAATTTATCAGTTCGAAAACTTCGCTCGTCAGCAATTGAAGACAAAAAAAACTTTCGGCAACTTCTAGTTAACCTAACTCGAATTTTCCATAAGACTCTTCTCTACTGGTAACAAAGATGTACTAGTTCAAAACATTAGCAATATAGGATCCAACATTTCCTGAAGAAAATGCTTCTACTTGTCGAAAAATGTTGGCTTTTCTACAAGAATTTCAATGAACTGCATGAATCTATTAATTTAATAGTATGAGAAACAAATGTTTTAGCCTACCCAAGCCTATGACTATACTCATCTTTGATCTTATAAATCAATGATTTTAAAGCTGAATTTTCTTTAAAAACAAAATAGCTTCATAAATATTTTAACTTTCTAAAAGATAATATTGACAATAAGTTCTACAAGTTAATTTTGAAATTTCATCTTAAAAGAATTCTATCAGCCAAATGAAGAAATTTTATTCTTTAATCGATGTATCAGTCATAGCAAATTTTCATATTAAACCATTGACACTTTATTGATCTGATGTATTATAATATACGTATTTATCTGTTCATACATTATATCGAATAACACCTTCTTGAGCACATGTTACAATAAGTCGTCCATTTCTAGTCCATATGCGACCAAATGTCCAAGCTCGATTGTTCATATGAATAGGACATTCTAATTCATACAATAACCAATCATCAGCACGTACAGGTACTTTAGATGGAATAGGTGGTATATCTGAACTACGTCGAACTGATTTCGATGAAACACTTTTTTCAATTTCATTATTGTCATCTGTTTTATCAAACATAAAATCATCATGAAACCACATTGAATGATCAAGTGATGCTTGCATTTTAATCCGACGATTATGAGGATTAACAGCATAAGGAAGAAAAGCACTATTTAATAAAACTCGATCACTGCAATAAGCAACAGC